CTCTTGCAGCAGTGATGCGCCAACGCGTACTGACAGTACGGCTGCTGTAAGTTCCAGTCGTGGAATAGTGATTATCTTCAATGGGGCCAAGCGTGCTTTTCCAATCAGAAATGCACAGCAGATTTCTCCTTTGTCGTTCACTTGACGAAGGTATGACACTTGACCATAATCTTGAGAGCTTGCATCAGAAAAACAGTGGATTTGGCATGAGATTACTTTACCAAATGATTCAGGTTTGTAGCAACGTCTTGCTGTGAATATTTCGAGTTCTGGTAGCTCACTTCGCCATTTTAGCCATTTCTATCTGCTCTCTTCTGGAATTTCGTTGTCCCAGTCAGTTTTCTTTTGGCACACCTTGTAAGACGACTGGTGCTGCAAATCCAAGAGGATCGTACACAGAGCTTATCGTAGAAAGTATTCCTCGTCTCGTTAGAGGTTTATCCTTCAGGACAATTCTGAATTCAAAGTTGTCGAGTTCTATGCTCCACTGGACACCCAGGGCTCGCTCTACGGGTAARTGGTCGCAGCTAAGGTCCAGTTCCTTCACATCTTTAGCTCTTTCATGCTGCGGTACTGACTGTAGCACTGGTCTCTTGTTGCTCACGAACTTTGTTAAGTGGAATCCTCCYTTTTGACATATGCTGCTTACTTCTCTTATGCGTTTGATAGCTTTCTCTTCTGTTTCYTCGGACCGTAAGCAATCATCTACGTAGAAGWTTCGTTTGAGCACTTGTCGAGATTTTTCCTCATATTCGTCTACAAAATCGTCAGCAGAACATCTAAGGCCAAAGTTTGCGCAGCTTGGTGAGGACACAGCTCCAAAGAGGTTTACATTCATCTGATATTCCTCAAGGTCTTTGGATATGTCACCATTGGGCCACCATAAGAATTTCAGGAAACTTCTTTGGTCCTTACTATTTTGTTGCGTTATTGGGCTGTCTGACTCACATAATTCTGTTTCTTCTCGACGTTTCGACGCCATTCTGGTCGTCATCCTCAGGATTTTGAGGATGACGACCAGAATGGCGTCGAAACGTCGAGAAGAAACAGAATTATGTGAGTCAGACAGCCCAATAACACAACAAAATAGTAATTATACCAAACTCACGAATAAGAGTTTCAGATCTACAATTCTTTGGTCCTCTTGTTCGACTTGATAAAACATTGATTCTATGTCTCCCATGAATGCTACCGGTTCTTGTCTAAATCGAACGAGGACGCCAATTAATGAACTTGTTAAGTCGGGACCTTGAAGTAACTTGTCGTTGAGTGATGTACCATTGAATTTCGCAGTGCAATCGTAAACCACGCGCACCTTGTCTGGCTTTTTGGGATGGTAAACGCCATGATGAGGTATGTACCACTCTTCTCCCTGATTGACTTGATTGTTCCACGGTACTTTCCTAGCATAGTCTTTATCAATGTTGTCTTGCATGAACTTTTTGTAGTCACTATGGTACTTCTCATCCTTTTCAAATTTTCGTTTCAGCCAGTAAGCTCTTTGTGTAGCCATGCTCTTGTTGTTTGGAAGATTCACGTAGTCTTCTCTGAATGGCAGTGGTAGCTGATAATGTCCATCGATGTGCTTYG